AAAAGAAGAATGTATTATTTACAGTAGATTTAATACAAACTAGAACTCACACACAACAGTGACCTAAACACAAACATTTATTTAAATCAAATCACACATACTGCACTGGAAAAAAGTTCCTGCAAACTAATCTGACTCTTTCCATTCGCTCTGACGTTGTGGTGGCTTAAACCCACCTCTCGATCTCGTCTTTGCTGAGTCATGAAGACCGCGGTCAAAGAATGCGGCCATTCAGACACAAACTGTTTGATGACTTGGACCATTGTGTGTTTAAAATGATGGTCGTTATACTGCCGTATATAAATGTCATTCATTCATTCATTGGTCGCTCTGGAGGGGTTTAAACTTGTGCATGCTGACCGGAGCGCGGAGGGGAGTGGGAAGAGGAAAGGCGGGGGTGTCGCGGTCTACTTGAACGGGCAGTGGTGCATCCCGACGCACGTGCATGTGGTTCAGCGTTCATGCACACAGGACCTGGAGCTGCTCGCTGTGAACATGACATCCAGGTATCTGCCGTGGGAGTTTTCGAACACCGTGGTTCTGTACGTGTACATCCCTCCGTCAGCAGATGCGGCCGCAGCCCGTGAGGGGATTTACAGAACTGTGTCACAGATCCAGACCCGCAGCCCCCGCGCTCTGATTCTGATCAGCGGAGACTTTAACCACGCCTCCCTCTCTGCCACTCTATTGACAATCAAACAGTATGTCACATGCTCAACCCGTGGCAATAAGACTCTGGACCTACTGTATGTTAATGTACGGGACGCATACGCCTCCCCCCCCTCCCCCCTCTCGGACGCTCTGATCACAGCCTGGTCCGGCTGTCTCCGGAATACACACCAGTGGTGAGAAGAAATCCAGCGCAGAAGAGGATTGTAAAAGTGTGGAGCGATGATGTGGAGGAGATGCTGAGAGATTGTTTTCAAAACACTGATTGGGAAATGATCTGCAGCTCTCATGGTGAGGACATCGAGAGCCTGACACACTGCATTACAGACTATATTCTCTTCTGTGTGGATAACACTGTACCAAGTAAGAAGGTGCGGACAGAGTGCCAGAGGGACAGCGGATGGAGACCAGCACTGGGCGGATGAATTTAACCAGTACTTCAACCGGTTTGATTCTCTCCCCTCTCCATCTGCCCCACCTCTTCACACGTCCCCAGCCCAGTGGACACCGCTCAGTGGATGCTGCCTTTGGCTGCCTCCTGCCCCCGCATCCCCAGCCCCCACCTCGGACAGTACACCCCGGTCCCCCCCCTCTCCATCACACCGGACCAGGTGAGGAGTCAGCTCCAGCGACTGAAGCAGAGGAAATCCGCAGGACCGGACGGGATCAGTCCCAGGCTGCTGAGGACCTGTGCAGACCAGCTCTCTGGGATCCTCAGCTACATGTTCAACCTGAGCCTCAGCCTGGAGAAGGTTCCTGTCCTGTTGAAGACCTCCTGTGTGATCCTGGTTCCTAAAACAGCAGACGCCAAGGAACTGGCTCACTACAGACCAGTCGCACTGACCTCCAACCTGATGAAGACCATGGAGCGGCTCATCCTCACCCATCTCCGCTCTGTGGTCAGCCCCACCCTGGACCCGCTGCAGTTCGCCTACAGGCCCAACATCGAAGTAGAGGACGGCGTCATCCACTTCCTGCGGGAGTGGACAGTAGCCTCACTGCATGGACCATCAATTACCTCTCGGACCGACCACAGTATGTGCAGCTGCGCAGCTGTGAGTCTGAGGTGGTAGTCTGCAGTACTGGGGCCCCTCAGGGCACTGTCCTCTCACCGTTTCTCTTCACCATCTACACTTCAGACTTCACATACGACACACACAGCTGGCACCTGCAGAAGTTCTCCGACGACTTCGCCTTCGTGGGCTGTGTGTCAGAGGGGAACGAACTGGAATATCGGTCGGTTATCACGAACTTTGTTGACTGGTGCGAGCGCAACCACTTGAGCTTGAACACCAGTAAGACCAAGGAGATGATCATCGATTTCAGGAGAAAACCCCTTTCCCATACGCTGCTGAACATCCAGGGGGAGGACATTGAGCTGGTGGACATCTTCAAGTACCTGGGTGTTCAACAATAAACTGGACTGGTCCCATAATACAAATGCCCTGCACAAGAAGGGCCAAAGTCGCCTCTTCCTTCTGAGGAGGCTGAGGTCCTTCGGAGTGAGCAGGCCTCTGCTCAGGACTTTTTATGACTCTGTGGTAGCCTCTGCCATATACTACGCTGCCGTGTGCTGGGCCCCGGGAAGCGCAGAGCGGGACAGAAACAGACTGAACAAGCTGGTCAGGAGGGCCAGCTCCACTATGGGCTGTCCCCTGGACTCTGTGGAGGAGGTGAGGGATAGGAGGGTGCTAGTCAAAGCCACCTCCATCATGAACAACACCTCCCACCCACTGCACAGGACTGTAGAGGAGCTGAGGAGCTCCTTCAGTGGAAGACTGAGGCACCCTCAGTGTAGGAAGGAGCACTACTGCAGGGCCTTATCCCCACCGCTGTCAGACTGTACAATAAGTCACTTTAAATGGTCACTGTGTGAAAACCTGCACTACTATTGACACTGTTTTCAATTGACACTTGACACTTTTGTTGTATATAATTATCCTGCATGTAACATGTTTGCACATTTCTTTCTTTTGCACAATCTGAGTGTCTCTATCCATGGCAATGTGACATGTAAATTTCTCCTTTGTGAGATAAATAAAGCTTATCTTATCTTATCATTGTCATCCCCTTTATTTGTCCATTTCTGGATCGGGGGTGGTGCCACCGGCCCCACACTGATCCTCCTGCAGGTGGTGGGCCCACGGGAAGATGGCTGCTCTGTCAATGAAGTGTGTTGTTGGATGCGAATTATGTGTTTGTGTGTCACATGTTTGTTCTCTTGAGTTTACAATTTCAACCTCCTGTTCAATATTGCTAATAGTAGTAGTAGTAGTAGTAGAATTTATTTCAAACGTTATGCAAAGAAAGCAATATAGACAATATGCAAGTAAAATAAAAACAAAAGCAAGACAGATAATAAACAGAAATAAAATGTTTGAAAAGGAGGCTGGACGAAGCAGACGCTTATTTGGCTCCAACCCCTCCCTCATTCAACACACAATCAGCCAATCACACACGCAACACAATCACAAATGCTCACACACACACACAACACAATCACAACACCCGACACGACACAGGCCCAAACACTCTCTGACCACACACCTCTCTCCATCTATACTAAAGTCCTCACTCCTCCACATACTTCTTGAGCACTTCCTTCTTGAGCAGCTTTTTGAAATGTAACAGATTTGAACATGTTTTTAGTGAATCTGTCAGGTTGTTCCACAGAGTCACTCCTCGCACAGACACACACATCGATTTTAAAGTAGTTCTTCATTTACCCATATATAAGTTTTGGCTTCCTCTTTAACTGTAACTGTGGTGAGCATCTCTGTCATGAAATAAGTTTTGCACATGAGGTGGCAAAGAGTTTTCAGAGGCCCTGAACATTATCTGAGCAGTTTTAAAGTAAATCAGGTCCTGTAGCTTAAGTTCTTTTAATTCTATAAAAAGTGGATTAGAATGATGTCTGTAGTAGACATTAGACACAGTCCTGATGGCCTTCTTTTGTAATGAGATTAAAGGCTGTAAATGGGACTGGTAACAGTTTCCCCAAACTTCAGCACAGTAATTAAGATATGACAGAATGAATGAATGATACAATAAAAGTAGAGCATTCGTGTTCAGTGAATGACTGGATCTTTTCATCATTCCAACACATTTTGCCACTTTTGTCCGAAGGTAGCTGATGTGGGGTTTCCACGAGGTCTTTTCATCCAATACCACTCCTAAAAACACATTTTGTTTCACTTACTTTTACGATTCCCAAATAGCATATCTTTAGTCTTTTTCAAGTTAAGTGACAATTTATTTTTATTAAACCAAGTTTTTAATTTTTTCAGTTCCGCAGTTACAGAGGACAACAGCTGCTCCAGGTTCTCACTTGAACAGATAATATTTGTGTCGTCTGCAAAGAGAACACATTTCATCACCTTTGATATTTTACATAGTTCATTAATGTACATTATAAATATCGACCCTTGTGGTACTCCACAGACTATGTCCATACAATCCGATTTATGTTGGTCAATTTGTACAATCTGTTTCCTTTGCATCAAATAGCTCTCCAGCAATTTTCTTGCCAATCCCCTAATACCATAGTTATCCAATTTATTCATTAAAATATGATGGTCAATAGCGTCGAAAGCTTTTGCAAATCAATGAAAATTCCTAAAACAAATTAAATTTTTTCGATGCAATTAGTTATTCCCTCCACTAAGTCAATCAGAGCAAGTGAGGTCGATCTGTTTGGCCTGAAACCGTATTGACTGTCACAAAGTAAATTATGCTTTTCAATGAATCCACGAAGTCTCATGTCAAACAGTTTTTCTAATATTTTAGAAAACTGCGGCAGAAGAGAGACAGGTCCGTAATTGGTGAAACAATGTTTGTCTCCTGCTTTGAAAATTGGGATTACTTTGGCCATTTTCATTTTGGAAGGAAAGTGTCCGAGTTGAAAAGACAGGTTACAGATGTGTGTGAAAGGTTTAACAATTTCTTTAGCTACGTTACGTACTATACTCATATCAATGCCGTGAATATCAAATGATGTTTTGTTCTTACATGTATTAATAACATTCAGGACAACAAAGAAATCTCTTGGGCATGGGCATTCACCTTTATTCATCCAAGGCCTTTCCGTTCCTTTTTTTTTAAATATATGTTTTAATTTTTTTAAAGAAAGAAAATAGAAAACAAAAACAACAAAAAACCTACTGAAAAAATATATTGTAGGCTAAATATATCTTTGTGCAATTGAGTCTTTATCAGTTCACTTTTTTAATCACGCGGAAGAAGAGGAAAAAAAAATAATGATAATAAAATGGAAAAAACTCAAGAAAAATAAGAAGTTATGTCCGTTCCGCGTGAGATGAGATGTCACTCACTTACTTGTTGGAGTAGCCAAATAGCCAAGTCTCAGCGTCCTTTGGAGTGTCGAAGACGCGCGTCTCATCACCAACTCGCACACGGAGCCTTGCTGGATGAAACAAGTGAAAGATGCTTTTTCTTTCATACAACTTGTGCTTGATCGCGTTGAACGCAGCTCTTTTCTTGGCGAGGGCAGCGCTTAGGTCCGGGTAGACTCTCAAAGTGCATCCCTTGTATTTGAGTTCATGCTCCCGAGCCCAGCGCAGAGCCTTCTCCTGGAAGTAGTGGAAACACACCATGAAGGTCCTCGGAGGTGACGGCTGGTGCACGGAGCGAGATCCACCCGGTGTACGGTGGGCTCTCTCCAGAATCGGGGGCCACGGGAAGACATCTGGCCCCATGCATTCTTTCAGCAGCTCGGACATGAATTCCACTGGATTGCGTCCGCGTTCTTCCGGGATGTTTATGATTCGCAAATTTGATCTGCGCGATCTATTCTCCAAGTCATCGACGCGCTCAAAGAGGAATTTATTCTGCGCTTCCAAGGATTGAATGGTTCCTTCAGCTTGGGTGAGTTTTTCAAAGTTTTCACCCGCAAGTGCTTCTGTATGTGTCAATCTGACAGTGAAGTCCTGGACTTGTTCCTTCAGTGAGTCCACAGACAACTGCACTGGTCTGATAGAGTCATTGATCATAGTGGACAAATCATCTTTTAGATATTGACATTGTTTGTCTAGTTCTATGATCAGTTGTTGCATTGTTAGGTGACCTGTCTCGGCGACTTCTCCTCCTCGTGAGATGCCGCTTGCTTCCCAGACCGCGTTTGCTTGGGCTTAGGGTTATTCATCCTGCAACAGATTGGCCCTTCGTATGATATTTTCAGATTCAATCTGAACTCTAGGTTATTTTAGTAAGGGATAAGTTAAGTAATAGTGGGAGGGTCTCCGCCAGGTTTACCTCAGCCATGCATGGCAACCGGAATAAGTGACTTAATGCCCAGACTAAAAGTATAAATCTTGTTTTTCTTCTTCAATGAATTGTGACGAAAGGCTTACAAATTAACCATCTTCATATCAGGGGTCTACTGCCAAAAATGTACTTTCTAAAGGCCTGGCTCACGTACAACAAACCCTGTGTAATAACTCCTTCTGAGACCTGGCTTAACAGTAATATCCCAGATACTGACATCAATATCGAAGATTATACGCTATATAGAGCTGACAAGAGGAGGTGGTGTGTTACCTACATTCTCTCATCTTTTGTTTCACAAGTTATGTGGTTTTGTGGTCTGCTGGAACAGCAGCATCACAGAGAGGGACAGGAAGAAGCTGGACAAGGTCATCAGGAAGTCCAGCTCAGTCCTGGGCTGTTCCCTGGACACAGTGCAGCAGGTGGGGGACAGGAAGGTCCTGAGCAAACTAACATCTATGCTGGACCATGACTGTCACCCCCTGCAGGACACTCTCTCTGCTCTGGAGAGCAGTTTCAGTGACAGACTAATTCATCCTCGCTGTGTGAAGGAGAGGTTCCGTAGGTCTTTCCTTCCTGCTGCTGTCAGACTGTACAATAAGAACTGCTGACCCTGTAAATTTCATTCATCTGTAAATAAGTAAATTCTTAAATCATTTGCAATGTGCAATACTGCAACTTCAGAATGTCACTGAACAATGTCACTTTACTTATCTACTTATTATCCTACACTATTTAACTGTGCAGTATATAACTGCACTACTACTACATATATATATTTTGACTGGTATTGAAGCATTTTCAGCATCTACAGCTAGTTATGTTAGCTAAGAAACATAGCTACTACTTATTTGTATATATTGTGTGTGATCCCTGTGTGCTCTTACTACTGTCCTTTATGTGCGCTGCAACATCGAAATTTCTCCACTGTGGGACGAATAAAGGAATTCTTATCTTATTATACCCAAAGTGAGACCATATCATTTTGAATGTTTATTTGTCAAAGTAACCCTACATGAAAACAAAAAAAATATTGTAGGAAATACTCTCCACAATCAATTCATTAAATGGTTTAGTTGAGACAAAACATTTTGGGTGATTTTAACAACAACTGGCTAAGTCGCTAATGCAGTAATGATTGGAGTCTCATCAACAGTGCAAATCTTACTCAACTCATAACTGAGCTTCTAGAATAACCCCGAACTCTGCAACTTTAATTGATTGGATTTTGGTTACTCTTCCAAACAGAATAATCTCATCTGGTGTCATGCCTGATTCTTTGAGTGACCACTGCATGGTTTTTCCTCCAAGAATAATAACATTGGGCCTCATTCACGAATAACTTCGTAAGAAACTACTCAACTTTCTTCTCAAGTTGTCCTTAAGTAGATTTCTAAGAAGTCCCCACGTGGGATTCATCAACGCACTCGTAAACCGCTGAATTGTTCGCAGCTGTTCTCTCAGATTGATGAATCCCATTTCCTCGTAAGTACAGCGCGCGTGCCAGGTGCTTCATTAGCATAGGTACTTAGCATAAGTAACCGCCCACTAATGCCCATATAAGGGGCTGCAGGGCCGTGTGCAGACGGCTGAGGAAACAGCAACAGGCCTAAAGCAAAGAGTTACACGGAGCAAAAGAGTCACCCTTTTTTCTTCTTTTACCAGACTGAGAATAAAGTTATAAAATTTTGACTTAAAAGTCGAAATATTATGATAATAAAGTCGAACTAGCAAAATTATGAGATTAATCTAAGAATATGATGAGATTAATCTCAAAATGTTATGAGCTTAATTTAAAAATATATTATGTATTATTTTAAAGATGAATCTCAAAATGTTTTGAGATTAATCTCAAAATATTTTGGACCCTGGGAGGAGATCCAGCGCGGACCAGCGCTGAGACCAATGCAGACCCGAGGAGAGACTGGAGTGACCAGCACACAGAAACCAGCGCGGACCTATAGGAGAGACCGCATAGACTGGAGTGACCTGACTGGAGAGACCGGTGCGCAGAGACCAGCGCGGACCGAAGATAGACCGCATAGACCAGACTTGAGAGACCAGCGCGGTCCCGTATGGATCCAGGAGCATGCAGCACGGACCCGTATGGAGAGAGACCAGTGCAGACCCGTATATGGGAGAGACCAGTGCAGACCCGTCTAGATCCATGGGAGAGACCAGTGCAGACCCGTATATGGGAGAGACCTGTGCAGACCCGTATAGATCCATAGGAGAGACCAGCGCAGAGACTCAGCGCGGACCCAGTAACCTCCTGCAGCAGCAGTATATATGCCGTTGTTCTGTGGCCCGTGGATAAAGAAATGCCCCCTATAAATAGGAAGGGGTCACTAATACACGGCAAGATTTCCAATGTATTTGATAAAGCGTTGGCACATTTCATTTCAAAATGAATTAAAAAGTAGGCCAGATCTGCAGTGAAAAAGGCGGTATATAAATAAAGATTACTAATAAAGATTACTACAAATAAATAAATACATACATCGATATGACGGACATATCACTGGAATGTTGTATTTTTATTCAACTTCACCAAAGAGGACAACCCCGGCGTGTGAACATGTCGGCACTGAATGCGTACGAGTGCTCCTGAGGACTCGTAGGATTTGTACTTGCCCAAGAGAAATTCTGGTTACGAGAAATATTCGTGAATGCCACTTTCTTCGTAAAAACCGCGTAAGTAGGATTTACGTACAAATCTGTTCCTAAGAACCGTTCGTGAATGAGGCCCAATGTTGTTGATAAACATGCGCCCTGGAAGATTTTGAAAGCTAAGGGCAGACAGCTACCCTGGATTAATGGTGAGCTACTAAGCCTGTATAGGCAAAGAGACAGAGTCTGTGCCTTTTTGCCTTTGGGCGACAGTGGCTCAGTTGGTAGAGCATTGACCTTTGAGTCTGAAGGTTGTGGATTCGAGCCCACCATGAGACCTTCTCCACCGACTCCCACTGATGACGGCTGCCGTTGTGTCCTTGGGCAAGACACTTAACCCCACATTGCCTGACGCCCCCGCTGAAAGATCAAGGCTATGCCCTAGGGCAGCCATCCTCCTGTGGACTCACCACCTGCAGGAAGATCAGTGAGGGTCTGGTGTACTGGGTGGCATCTCTGGCCGCCAACCCAGAAATGGATTAAGGGGTAGAAAATGGATGGATAGTTTAATGAAGTTTCAGCGGGGGCTTCAAGCTAAGTAACTTAGAAAATGGATGGATAATTTAATGAAGTCACAGCTTCGTGTTTCAGCGGGGGCTTCAAGCTATGTGAGCTTAAGTGTTTTCCACAACATTTATCAATACAGTGTGTTTTGGTGACAGATAAATTATTGTATAATGACATAATTTATGCAGACAAACGTGTTGTTGTGTATGGGCTTGCACTGATGCACCGCATTTAATTCAATATGCTATGCAGTTCTTGACCCCTGGGAAGGCGGGCCCTGGTCCGCTCTCGGCCAATCAGAGACGAGTCTATATCCTCCTAGCTAGATGCGCTGTGTTGTTGATTTTTGCTGGAAGTAAATGCTGTTATGACGGATTGGAAGTAACAGATAACAGAAAAGGAGGTTCTACTTACATAGAACCTCCTTTGAGTAACTTGGAATTAGGGTTGGGCGATATTTTTTTTGTACCGGGTATAAGTAAATTAAATGATAAGAAAATGCCTTATACCGGTGAAAACGATCATTTAACACTGAAAACAGCGAGCGGAAGACACGTTTGTGTACGGCGCACTTTGATGACGCATCTGCGCGGCACGAGTAGCAGAGCGGCGTGCAGGAACAACAACAACAGAGCAGAGAGCAAACATGGCTGAGGGCGGCGGTGAAGACCATGGTGAAGACATGCAGATTGTAGAAGACATTGTGCCAAAACGCGGAGCTACCTCAAACATATGGGAGTAGTTTGGGAACTAGATAAAAAGAAGCAATTGTGTGTAACTATTGACAGTGGATCTAATGTTGTGAAAGCAGCTGCCCTAAACAACTGGACTCGAGTGGCTTGCTTCGGACACTCTCTCTCTCTCTCTCTCTCTCTCTCATAGTGCCATTGGTAAGCTTTATTTACTGTTTACAGTCATTCATTTTACTTCAATGCATGTGTTTGTCTACATTGCAATATAATTACAAATAAGTTATAATTACATAATTATAGAAACGCAAAAGGATACAAAAAATATATACAGTATTTGATCATTTTGACTATATTGGGATTAGGAAACATAAGCCAAAGTGATCAAATAATTATTTGATAATGCTACACTTTTTATATTACAAAGGACAAACTTTTATATATTTTACAAATTACAAATGTTCACCTTTATTACATGTTGCCTGCAATTTTCAGTATGTACAAAACAGAATTCTCTACAATTCAGTTTTGTTAATACGTTTTATATACAATAGCTGTATTACACATTTTGCTGCCAATAAATCAGTAAATGCACTTTGAGGCAAGTGTGTTTAAAATTATCAGTGCTAAGTTTTTATAGCTTTTATATGAGGCTTTGTTAAAATTATCATATCGTCATATCGTGATACATACCAACAAAAATCGTGATACATGCTGAGGCCCATATCGCCCAACCCTACTTGGAATCTTCATGAAGGGTGATCTGTTACTTCCAATCCGTCATAACAGCATTTACTTATATTATATTAAGTTGAATTAAATTGCACTCAAACCATGTGGCAATGCAATATGCAATATGC